GATAGAATTGGAGGTAAGCTTTACAGTAATTTATCTCTGCAATCCATTACATACAGAATTTTGGAAAGCAAAGATATGAAAATAACACTATACAAGGCTATTGATTCTACTTGAGCACCTAAGTCTGTTCAATATTCATCAGTATACAGACTTTTTGAAGAGACTCCATTTCTGAAAGACCTACACTTACTCGTTTAATGTGGAAGAAATATTGTGTCTATCACCAAAATAACACCGCAACTTATCATCGTTGTTATGTGAGTGAGAATAAAGCATTACATTGGTTATATATGCATCGAGAAATAAGTTCTGAGTGTGCGCCTACGTAAATACATGTGTATTGATAGAACATGATGTATTACCCTTATACTGCAATTGTTCATACAAATATTACCTTCGTTTTGCTTGCTCTGTCTCTCGTCATTGTCATAGATTAAGCAACGATAATGAAGAGTCAGTTGAATGCTCGCTAGGATATGCGTTATAGCAAGCAGTAACGTATATTTTTTTTACCAATTGCACAGAACAGACAAAATATTCACTTTTCATTTGCCATTGTTTCTCTCTCAGAAGCGTATTGCTCGTCAAACTCATACTCTAACGATACTTCCACACATGAATGAGTGTATCTAGTTTTTTTTATCCATGATTGGATTTTATTGTAAGTTTGCCTTTCGATTTCAGACACGGCTCTATCACCCGACTCATTTCATGTGGTGATCCTAATACTTATTCTGGTTTTATCGACCATCCGGATGCCTATATCGGTTTCGGTCGCAATGCTGAGCCTGTGCTGGTTTCAATAAAGATCCCTGAATACGTTCAGGCTTTAATTTCTGTGCATTAAGTGTGGTTGTATACATTAATAAAAGTCTTATCCACACGCATGTCTGCTCTGGATTCTTCTATAAATCAACTACGTGCAATACATCGTCAACATTTTGAAATCCTTCTAAAAAAATCACAACTTTTCAAATAATTCACTACTGTTCTGACATAAGAGCTATTACAGTTGGTATCTATTTTGATAAGTAATACAAATACTTTAATTAATGATTCACTTTTACTTTCATCAATTTCTTTCAATTGTTTTAGTCCTACACGCATATTATTGGCATAATAATTGTCGCATAGCTTTTGATGGATTTTGATGATCAGATTGATGATTGTAAAATAAAGATCAGCTTTTTTTTGTAGTATAATAAAGTTGTGATTGTACTTTAGCATTTTAAATGTCAATATGACTGTCTCATTGTGGAAAAAGGGTATCAAACTCTTCTATTACTGTATATCACTCAGGCTAAAATAATATAAACTTCAGGGACATTGTCTGTTGCAAAAAATGAAAATTTACTTTAAAAGAAGACCCATCATAACTGATCTTTGTGATATTGATATAAATTTCGCTAATTTAAGCGTTATGATATTTTATTTTGAAAGAAAATAGAACGCTCTTCATTCACAGCCAAAAACATTTATTTGATGATAAACGTTGATAAATAATTCAGAGGAAAAAAGTTAATAATAACAATAGCTAAAACAGCAACAACAACGAAGAGGAGAAAACCAAAGAGAGAACATCAAACAGAGTGAAAAAAAAACAAACTAGAATGCTCTTTAATATGACCATAAGATTTCACACTCTAGACATCTGTCACTTGTTTTATCACTTCGCCCAGCGTAGTATCAGAATGGTACAAATTAGCCAATTCGTTCACATCAACGGCTTTAACATAGTAAACGCAATCTTTAGATTCTCAAGGACAAAAAAATGTTCTTTTTCGATTGTTTTTTTGTTTCTGTCTCTCTTTCATGTATGTTTATACATACATGATATGTCATTCGATAGGTAATAGGATCATCACTATTTATATACACATATTATATTTTATTTATACATTATACTGTTTTATTTTGTATCGATTTGAAAATGACATGATTTTCATGATATTGATGCAATATACATAACAATGAAAAGAAAAAATACGTATTAAGCTTTTTTTTATACGTTAAGACCGTAAATATGGCTAAAGATATCTTTTTTTTGACAGCCAATTGTTTACTGCAGTTGATGAGCTTCACAAGCGGTCGCCGACTCTATTATCAATAATGCGTGACACTGCTTATCGGAATCGGAGCAACAGCCATAGTCAAAATTTTTCTTGTGCAATCATTGGAACTCGGCATGCACAAAACTAACATAGACCATTTTCAAATAATACAAAATAACCCGTAACTAAAGTATAATATGTGTATAGAAATATCAATGGTGATTCCATTACCTATAAAATGCCATACAATGTATATATAATCGTACAAAAGGAAAGGAAAACAATAATCGAAAACGGCTCTTATTTTTGTTCATGACAGACTGCATCGACTTTGATTCTCTCACAATACTCATTGTTTTTGAATCTATTCATGTTTTATAATTAATTTAATTGAAAATATTAGTCCTATGAAAATAAGAACCAACTTCCAACAAAATTAGATACATCGATGGAATTCGAAAGTGAAATATCGTTCATCTTATTTCGATCATATTATTTTTCTATCAGCTAAGGGCATAGTGAAATTTGTTGTGTGTCACTTACAAATTTACGTCTTTTTGTAATAGTCTTGGAGGCTTGGTAAACCTTCTGTTATCTTCTCGATATTGCATAGACTGTATTTGTGTTTTGTAGCCATGTGATTTTATATGATCTTTTGATTATGAATAATCCATACACAGAAAGTAGCTATACTTTGAATCGATTAGGGAATTTTGGACAATTATACACTGGCTAACGTTCAGAACCGTTGACAGATGTGCGATGAGAATTCTAAAAGCTATGATGAAGGTATTGTCAAACATGTTTTCTTCTGTCACATTTGTCACTAAATACAGTACCATACTTTTGAAAATGCTGTCTCTTCAATCTCGAAAGCTACTGTTTCAAAACAAAACATATCTAAACCGTATCTGGCTTCTTACACTAGTTCAAAGCGTTCCTTTTCATAAAATAAAGAGGGATAGCGCTTAAAATATATGAAATGAAGGCTGAAATTAAAAATCGATCAATATTCTTTTGTCATTTGGTGTCATCAATATTCGATACAAATGGAAAAGAACGTTTCGCATCATTACATTTTTTGTTTATCATTCTTTATTTCATAAGCCATTACCAATGTGCTATTATTGAGTATAATTTCAATCACTCCTTCAGTTAGAATGATCGTTTACCCGATTGTGTAATCATTTTAAACTGTAAACAATGTAAAAATGAAATAATGTGTGTTGCAAACACAAACCATCTATCGATAAAAACAACATGCTTCTTTTACATCAAAGGTCGTTATGCGAAAGGATATCGAAATTAAGGGTTTTGGTATTTACTAAATTTTTTTTCGAATCTCGAGTTTTTTTCAATATCATATGCTTTAAAAATATAATATTTTTGATCAGTTTAATTGGAAGAATTAGGTCTTAACTGTTCTTTGAAAAATGTCTGTTAAAAATGTCCCAGGCTTGTAAATAATTGTTTACGCATAATTATCCTTGCTAAAAATGTCTTTGTGCAACGATGATTCGTATGAAAATGTGCTCTACTCTCAGGTATTGTTTTTTAAATATATTCGTAGTGAAACATGAAGTGAGAATATGAGTCATTTATTAACCTTCATCTACTAGTTCCGTAATAGCCAAACCACGATCAAAGAATTATCATTGACACATTCTCTGTCTGCTGTGCATGAAAAATAAAGCTAAAATTTATTTATTATAACAAAAAAATAAGGTGATGGAAGTCCAAAATTAAAGCAGAATTTTTTCATATATATTTAGATAGTGTGACGAGCTGACTAAGAATGTGGATGCTTTCATTTTGACGGAATGAGTTTTTATAAGGAAAATTTCAGTTTTTTGTGATGACCGAGTTTTTAAGAAAATTAGGTCGATTTTTCTCTTCAAATTTTAAACATGTTTTTTTTCAGGTTCAGCATAAAAAACTTAGTATAGAAACCGTGATTTTTGAGGTTGTTGAATATAAGAGAAAACCAAGAGTGCAACTAAAATGAAAATCTTACGTATTGCTGTTTTACTTTATTCAATAAATTAATTTTTAAATGAAATGTGGTATTTCGACCTTCAATATAAGCCAGTGGTCATCATCAGATAAATTAGAAAATATATTTCTTTATGATTTTTCAATCTTTTACATTTCCTATATGTATTAAATATACTATGTCCATTTATGATTCATTCTTTTGTTTATGAATATAATGTGACCCATCATCATATGTGAGCATAAACCAATATGAGATAGGTTTTTGTTATTATTGTGTAATTGAACGTGCTTATTGAATCTACATTTACAGTATAATGAAACCATTTATTAATGACTTCTATGTCCAATATTTCATGCTGAAGCTGAAACAAACAGATATGAAATTGGAAGAAAAAAATTCTGCTTTAACGTTGTATTTTTGCTATTTTATTTGAAGCATCGCCTGTCGAAAGAAAAACATGTTTACTGTTCGCTAACAATGATTTACCAGCAATTTTCGCAACGGAATTAACTTCATTGATGCATTACTTGTATTAATGTAAAAACAATTTCTGAAGAAACGATGGAACGCAGTCGTCTTTTCGTTTTTATGATTCATGTTAACACACAAAATCATATATTGTCTTTATCGTATGCCTTTCTCTTTTTTTGTTTCTCTTTTCTCTGTATGTATGCAAACGCATGTATTTTGCTCTGATGCTCGATAGTATAATAATATTATTATTAGGTATTCGTGTATGTGTATTCTGAATCGAAAAAAATTAAAAAAATGTGAATCACCTTTAACAAGTGCTGAAATTTGGCATAAAAGAAAATCACACGCATATTTTAATTTTGCCATTAGAAATAATGCATTTTGATGAACACACATAATACACTTAAATTAACTGACTCATCTGTTACTTATATTCAACTTTCAGTTAAACGTCGAAAACCAGAAAAACTTACATCAAAATGATAATTAAAACCGATTTTACTTCATCTTCATTTATAAAACAAGATTTATTTCGATCTGCTCCAAATAGCTTACACATTGTTTACCAATTAATTCCAATCCTATGTGAAACTGATGATCTTTTAGACCGAAAAGAAATTCGACATGGACAATTGCAATTAGAACGTAAGTTTTTATTGAAAAATTTCTGCTTTTAAATCACTACATAAACTAATGTTGATGAATTTTTGTCTCGATTAAAAGATATTTTTATTCATTAAAAATATCTTGATGATTTTCGTGCTATTAACATAAACAAAAAACTAAATCATAAATTAAAATCATGGCTCATAAATTTTAAACAAAATAGTTACTTGTACATGGAATGATGTAAAAACGAATCAACAAATTTCTTACAATCATCATCATTATTAAAAAGATTCAATGGTTGGTCATGTATTACAGGAATTGAATATGTTGTTTTAATGGAATAAAAGAATAAATTGTCATCATTATATTCACCTATTGGTATTAATGAAATTTAGATAATAATTCTATTAATTGTTTAAACGATAAAACAACATCAATTAATTGCAATAATAATCATTTACCGAATTCTGTCTTATCAGCAACTATATCAAAAATATTAATTGATATGTTCGTTAAAGATTCAATCAAATTTTATGGTGAACAAGGTAATGTTATTACATGACTTTTGCTAAAATAGAACAACATGTTACAATATGATTTAGATAAGTTAAGTTTGATTCATATGTCTTAAAGAAAAAGCACATCAATGGTATAAACAACATCAAGTACAAGTCATATCTTGGTGTCTATTTATTAATGAAATAAAAAAATCGTTTATATCAAATTTACAACGTGGTTTAGTATTTCAAAAATTAAAACACTATTAGGAAACAGTTCACCAATGTTATACTCAAAATTATGCTGAAAATGATCAAATTAATACAACAAGTTGATTTACGAATAAATGACTCTACAAAAGTCCATTACCTTGTGAATGGGCTTCATCCATCTTTACCTACTGAAATCCAAAGAAATTACCAAAAAATTGCACAAGATTTTTTTTAAAAACAAATTAAGTTTGCTCGAGAAACCCTACGGTATCAAGTATCATCCTTGTCTCCAGTCCTATGATTAATGATAATAATTTAATATTATCTACTTCTTTTTCATGCTCAACATCCAATGTAACATCGACAAATGATTTATACAACTTATTCTCGAAATTTCAACGATGATAATCATTATTATAAAAATCATTATATTCGTCTAATGATACTAATTCACAACGTTATTCGAATAGAATTTCTAAAACATCTTCTTATAATTTATATAAACGAAATCAACCTCCTCATTGGTCTAGTTGGCAAGTACATAATTTTAAATCATCATCAAATATTATACCAGCATTGCTTAATGATAGTAGATATCGAAATAAGAATTCTAAACGACAACTTATTTAGATCATACAGTTCGTCATTGTTGGCACTTCGGAAAGCGATAGCAATGATTGATGGTATTGACTTCACGTATTCATCTCAACAACCATCTAACGCTCGTCTTATTATTTTTTACAACATATGCTAACAACAAACAAATGAAACAAGAGTGCATCATCAGAAATTTTTTTATAGTCGATAGATTAACTTCAATTATAATTACAGGAACTGTCCATGTTGTAATTGGTATAGGTGATGCTATAACAAGTATTGCAGCATTGGCAACAAAAAAATGATGTACAAATCTTGTATTACGTATGGACTATCTCTTGAAATATGACGTAGAAATTAAACCAAAGGAAAAATTCATATTATTTAATGTTAATGGTCATAAAATTATGATACCTATGGATAAAAAAATAGCACCTATTGATATTCCTGTAAAATTACGAAATTCTATGAAAACACTAGATAAACAGTTAAATACAATTACTACACCATCTCAATTTACTACAACTCAACAAGAAGCTTTTTAATTTGTTACATCATATCGCTGATTAAGTTCAGCATGATCCAATAAAATCATTATTATTTAAATTTCAATCTACTTATAATACAAGGAAATATAAATTTACACAAACAAAAATATTTCATGCTATTGAAACATATTCTCATATACTACCTGTTTCAGAATTCTATTTTAGTAATGCAACAACAAGTTTAGAAATGCAATTGATTATTAATAAATGAGTCGATGTTGGTCTTGTACATGAATCTCAATTAGCTGTTGCAACTTTCGCCTTATTAGTAAAGAAGAAAGATTATAGTTATCAGCATTTGTTTCTTTTACTGGATTATTAAAAATTTTCATGAATCATTTAGACATATTAGAATATTGAATTTTTTTATTTGTGCTAAATTACTGTGTGTGTATAGATGCATCGTCGTATACAACAATATTCTTGCTATACAAGATAAACTTATATTTATTATGCAACTGAAGAATAAATGTGTATCTGTTATATCGAAGCTGATTATAATTACACTCTTAATGTTATTTATCACATTTTATTATTATTTTATTATTTTATATGAAACTCGAATGATCTTATTTTATTATTTACCAATCAGATTTATCATACTTCAGATATTGTTATTTATATTTAATTATTTTTTCTACCAAATGATTTCTCGATTTCGTTTAAACTGGTGATCCATTCGGTGGAATAAATGTTGCTGATATATATTCGTTAGCTATTAAACCATTCACTAAACCTATTCAACTTACATTTATTGGAGAAGCATTTCCTTTTTAAGAGTTTTTTTTCTTCACATTTTTGTTATGCAATTATATTCATTCTTTGTCCTTCATTTCTGTTACTTGTTAACTCACATTTCTTTTGTTATTTATTTCTGCATAAGAAAAAAACAAAACAAAAGATGAAACATAGTTTTTTATGCACAAAAGGGGAGAATGCTATGATCCGTGCTAAACCACAAGGTCATGCATTATCTTCTCATATACCTTTCTCTTTTCGTTCTTATACTCTGTGTCTAAATAGATGTGTTTATTCTCATTCGAGTGTTGTTTATGTATTTGTTGCTATGTGTATTCTAAACCAAAAAATAGATAAAGTTAGATGCATCTTTAAGAGAAGAAATCATTTATGATCATATTTGACTTATCTCATCGATTTTATTGCATTGATTATTTCAAGGAAAAGTCTCTTATCTCTACTTTAACTAAATATCTGATGTAATATTCTGAAACTTCGGACTTTATTTATGCTCATTCGATGTTATTCAATGAATTTAACCCATTTTCTAAACTATTAAGAATCGGAATTATAAATCTAAACAATATTTTTAATTCAGATCGTTTTTTTTAAATACATGTTATATCATCTATAATTTATCAAATGAATGTATCAAGTATACCGTAGTGTATATTATATTTGTATCGAGCTTTATAGCATAATTTATATATCTCAAGTTGAATATCGTACACTTGAAAATTTATCTGATATTGATAATTCAATTTTTGTAATAGCAAGATTTTTCTAGCAATTTTCTTTGAATATATTCAATACAAAAAACCATATTTTATTTATTGATCAAAATCTATTCGACCTTATAATATGAATCGCAATCGTGTTGCTTATCAATTAAACTATGACTTAAACTAAACATTTTAATACTGGTCCCGATAATGATATTATTAAATATATTTCATATAAATTTTACAATCTATATTTAAACGACAAAATAATTTTATCTTCTTCCTAAATCTCTGATAAAATAATATCAGGAATTCAGTCGCCTAGTTCAACCATATTTCAATCAAATTTTTCAACGAAAAATAATTTTCAATAGTCCCTTGACGATTATAATTCAAATCTTTTCGAAATAAACTCGATAACTAGACAAGTTTCTGTTCCATAACTATTTAATAGATAAGTTTTATTCATTTCAAATTCGTATAAAATCAATCGGACAAATGATTATTGTTAAATTGACAATCAAAAATTAAAAGTAATCATAGTCGAAATTTTCTTCATCTACTATTAAAATTTGGCAAAATCATCCTCTGATAAATTTATAACAAAATAATTGGTATTATCCATATTCCAAAAGTATTGACACAAAATGTATGTTCATTTATCAGTCATATAAACGTATTTATTGAGAATTAAAAGTAGTTAAGTACAATCAAAATTTTATAGTCTTTTCTAATATTTATTTGGTCATAAACAGAAATTTAAGGATAGAAAAGTTTTTATTATCTTATGTCTTGAGACGATGTCAATATTTACTATCTATATGTTAATAAGAATATAAATTATGAAACTCATATTAAAAAAAATATTTATATTCTTTGTTTGAAATAATAAGGATGAAAATGCGATTATTTAAAAAGTGGAAATTTTGGTTTTTTTTATCTGTTTATTTCTATCTTTCTTCCAATATTTAATGCCAATAGAGTATCCTTTTAAAAGAAGTTCGAAAAAACTCGGATCTATGCTAATGGAAAATTAGTATGTATTGTAACAAAAAAAAACATTTTCGGCCTCTACGAATTTGAATTTTTCCTGTTGGAATCAAATTCATGATGTCTCTGATTATATTCAGCATGAAGATCGAAACGGCGATTAGATTTAAAAATTTCTCAATACTAGAAACAGCTTCATATTTAAATGTCAATAGATATACATTACAGAAAATTCAAGAAGCCTTTTATTTCTTATATTGTTTTGTTTTTGAATCTGCTTTTTTGTGGAAAAATTTAGTGATTCGAGGATACATTGTAATCTAAAAATATAGCTGAATCGACATTAAACAAAGTAACTCTAAAAATTAAAAAGTTCACAGTTTATCAGTGTATGTTTAGAGTTTTTTTCTAGAATATTTAGTGGAAAGATCAGATCATTCGTAGAAAACATTCAAAAAACCTTAGTGAACGCTTACAATGTCTTTTTCAAAGTGAAGCTCCAATGGTGTTTTATCTTGAGTACTTCAATTATTGTTTATTTTTTCAATAATAACCCAATAAATAGGAATAATGATGAATGCTTGTTTTAAATCAATAACTGTTACTCATCATTGAGCTTTATCAAGCATTGAAATTACACATCGACAATCACGATTGACATCTCTTGGTAATTTGCTCGATTTCAAAGTTGTTATTCTTTTATATAAACACGAATTGATTAAGAAAAACTTCGAAAATATTTCCTTTTCACTTCTATTTGCGATAGAGAGAAGAGGAAGTTGACAATCGTTGAACTGCCTTGTTTCTAGATCCACCAGCTATGTGAGTTTACTGGACTTCAAGATAAAATTGTTTGTTGTTCTTCCTTGATTTCAACGAATCTTGGAATTTAAAATCAAATTATTATTTGATTATATTACGAATAATAGCTCATGTATAAAAATTTTTTTTTCTTCAATCTGAATCAGTTTTTATTTTATCTATCTGACTAATTTCTATCGGTTTTGTTCACCGCGTGAAAGAAAAGAACATGCATATAGAAGAAACAACAAACAAAGTTAAGTAAGTTCATCAAAAAAGAAAAGAAAAATTTTTTTTGAGCAATACAAGTAAAGACATAAAGATTTCTTCATAAACATACATATAAAAGAATAAGTTTTGATAGGTATAGGATTTAATTACATAGAAAATAGATCTGACAAGTCATGCAAACTTTTGAGAATTGGATATTGATGTTTGGTTTTTTTCAACGACGTGTATTCGAAAATGCTAAAGCTGAAAATACACTTGCTGAAGATTCATTTGTTTTTGTTGTAATTGTTGTTGATTGTTTAAATCTTTTAATATTAGTTGTCGGAGATTTATCAGCTGAATTTGATCGCTAAAGTTGATATGTTCAATTATATTGAATATGAAAATTAAAAAAAAATAAATAAAATCTTTTACTTTTTCACCAGATGATGTTGTTGATTGAACCGGATTTTGGTTTTCATTTGCACTAATTGTTGTTAAATTTGTTGAAAAAACATGTCGCCGAGGATTGTGTTGTTTTTTTGTTGTTATTGTTGTTTCATCGGTATTATTTAGATTAGCTACTGTTATATTATTTCTATTAACGGGTGCTAAAAGTGTTGTACTAAATCGTTTAGCTAATAGAACAGAACTAAGGGTGACAGAACGAGTTTGATTAGTTTTTTTCGTATTGGAATCGGTTATTGTTTGAGTAGTTGTTTCAATATGTGTTGTAGTTATACCTAAAATTAGATTCAAATAATATCGAACTGTATCTATGAGAATGATCGAGAAACTAATCATAAGAAAAATATTAGTTGAGTTTGAAGATAATCTGATGGTAATAATGATATTTTTTGCATTAAAACTTACTAAAACATCATATACCAAGAAAAAAGACCCATGAACATGAATTCTTTTAGACTTTCTCGATTATAAGCCTATAGTTTTAGTCAAAAAAAAAAGAAAAACAAGTAACATTTCTACACTCACAATTGATTAATTTAATCTATCTTGGTTTGTCAACATGTCAACAAAATATAAATTTAATAAATATTCGTAACTTAAGTGGTTCTCAGAAGAACTTTTCTCTATGAGACGATAAGTTAAGGCCAAGTATAATCTAACAAATTTTTTCTATATAACGGGTGATGCAAAAGATCTGCATTAATTTTCTTTTCAGCATTGCGTGGCAACGAATCATTCTAGAGACTTGAGCTTTTTCTCGTTGGATGGAGCGGAGAGTCTATTACAAAATTGTGTAAAAATATTTGATTCAAAATATTTATCAAAAGGTAAAAAGTCTTGAGAATAAGTTGAATCGAAAAAGTGCTTTTAAAGTTAACTCAAAATTAGGGATGAGAAGTGTATTTGTTTAATTTGTTTTGCACTTGGCTTGCAATGTTTGGAGGCAGGTTATATATGAATCTGACCAATGCAATGTGGACTTTCTAATCATACAAAAACATTCGAGTTACAAAACCATAGGCTTCAACGGAATCAGTTTTATTAAAAAGTTAATTTTTCGTCTACAAC